AGCAGGAAGAACAAGTCCTGATCTGTCCTGTCATTGGACAGGTTCTGGAGAAGCTCCTCTAACAGAACACTGTAGTAGAACTCCAGACTCAGATGAACTCAATGTTCTGATGACTGGTTCTGGAGCTGCTCCTGAGTACTTTGAATGGTTCTGGTTTTTCGACATGTTATTCTTCTTTTACCTGTGTTAAGAACCTTTAATCAGTTGAATTACAGAAACCTGATGTTTTTTGTTATTTTCTCCATAGACTTTGGTCTGTGCTAATGTTATAAACTCTTGCCATAGTCAAAGTCTTTGCAGAGCTTCTTTGTTTAATGGGACCTGTGCTAAGGATGACAATAACAGGCTGATATTGATCACTGACGAGTAATGATCAACTGTCCAATCACATCAGAGATCAGAGTCACGTCTCATCAAACTTTAACTTTACGCTTTACTTAGATCTCATTCATCAAAAGGACACATAATATTCTCAAATGCCTTTGAAGTTCTATCACCACAGCTAACCCTTACCCTCCCCCCAACCCTCTGTGGAGAACAGGAGTTTCATATTGATGACCTTTACATTAGTTTGAACATCAGCTCATGTTCTCCTGGTTTGTCACCTTTTCTGTCAAGAAACTAAGCTGTGGCTTAGAAAAGGTCAGTGACCTCTGACCTAGACTGAAGTTAAAGCTCCTGGATAAAAACTCCACATTAGTACTCTTTGTGCTCTGAGTCACTGACTGTTGACGTGGTTCAGATACAGTATGTTAGTCTGGAGTTAAATCCCATGTGTGACATCACTGGTATCAGTGACATCACCACATCACTCCTTTGATACTGAAACTCCTTTCATCCATTTGGTAAAAAGTTCATAGATAGAGAAGAACTTGATGGAGGCGAAAAACTCCAATACTTGCCATCAAAGTTCACTGCTGTCAACTACCTTACTGGACTGATGATTTATGGACCGGGGAAAGATAGGGCGGAGTAAGGAAGCCGTTTTTGTGGATTTGACAAGTTTCCACCAACCAAGAAGACGTTAATATTCCAGATGTTCTAATTATAACTCATTATAAAAATCAATACAACCCCAGTTGTCTTGAAATGAAACAAGTAGAAAAGACAAAAAACGACACAATGAAGGACCCGTTGATGTGCCGTCTCGGATGACGACTATCCGCCAGTCAAATGACGAGGTTGATTCCAAAAAGTCCTGTTAAGACAGGACATAAGAAGCTGCAGAAAAGGCTGACCTACGTTTTGCGCCCCGATCAGGCGTTGCAGGTCCAGAGACTGCGGCAAAAAGAGCGAGAAGAGCAACACAGCCAGGAGATGCAGAAGATGAGGCAGATGTTGGTCACCTATGATGAACACATGCACTACAGTAACACCTGGAGGACGGTCCTGGCCCAGATCAGAAAAATCAACAAACTGAACATCCTCTTTCAGAACGAGAGGGAATCTCACAAACAAGAGATTCTCAGGGTGCAAGGGATCGAGTCAGAACTCAGGCAGGAACTTCAGGACAATGTAGAGAAATACCAAATCCTGCAGGAGAAGTGTACACATCTGGAGACCATTGGTTCCAACACCATCAAGAAGAATGAGCAGCTGGAAGGTAAAGTGAGCGAGTTGGAGGTTCAGATCAATGAGAAGGAGAACATGCTGCAAAGGTTCCAGACGCTGTCTGAGAACGTTCAGGATGGCAGTGGGGACAGGGAGGAACTCCAGAAGACCAAGACAAAGTATGGAAGTACTAAGGATTGTAACCAGTCCCAGGCCGAAGACTCCTGTACGGTGCTGGTGAAAACCCTGGAAAAGCAAATAGAACTTCTGCAAAAAAACATTTCCGAGCTTGAGTTCCAGGCCTTGGAAAACCGAAGCACGCTGCAGAAATTTCAGACAGAGTTGAAACAACGTCTGGAAGAAGCCGGAGGGAAGGAAGAACTTCAGAGGACGAACGAAAAGTACAAAGTCATGGAGAAGCAGTACGCACAGTTACAGACAGCGGCTGCTGATTTAATGGAACGGGCGAAAAGGAACAAGAAAAAAATCGAGTACCTGGAAAACAAAATTCATGAGCTGGAGTTCCAGGTCGTGGAGCGCAGGAACAACACCTCACTGCAGCTTCACTGCGACTTTGAAAAACTCCAGGAAGAAAATGTTTACCTTAGAGAGAACCTAAGGAGTGAGACCAAGAAAAACGTTCTGCTGAGGGTCAAATTTCAGTACCTTAAAGAAAAGCTGGAGAAAAGGTTGGACAACACCTGGAAGGTCGCAGAACCACGGAAAGAAGAGAACTCTATTCTGCCAAAAACCAAGAACTATTTTATCCTAAATATGGGTTCTTTGCAAGACACCTTTTTAGGATTTGAAACACACAAGAGCCTGCCTCTGTTGGAGAAGGTGGATGAAGAGGAGAAGACGGACGACCGGAGGTCTGACTCCTCTGCCCAGCCTCAAGAGGTGAGTGGTAGAACAATCAAGCAGCTTAAGGAGGAGACGGTGAGATCTTCACCGTGGAGGAGGTCGATTTCATGTTCACCCCGGTGAGATCTTCACCGTGGAGGAGGTCCATTAATGTCATTTCATGTTCACCTAATATTTTAACTGTCAACGTGAGCTTGGAGATTTTGGTTTGTCTCCTCTTGGTTATTCTCAAAGTCAAGGACGATTCCTAAACTAATACTTTCTGAAGAAGTGTTCCACTTTTTTGTCTCTATAAAATTCCCTGAAGTACTAGCTCTTTTACATCCTCGTTGCAGCCACCTTGCCTTCCAACCGGTGTGCACATTAAGTGACAAAGTCTCAATTGTAACAACAAGGAACAAGAAACGACTTGTGCCCTTCCTCAATGAGGCGCTCATTTAAACGTCTTTGACTTTGAGAAACACCAAAGGATCAGCAGGGATTGTTTTATCACTGATCTCAAATGAGACAGTGCCGGTCTCTGTGGCTCAAGGGTTGCTGGATCCAGAGGAACCAGAATCCAGGTATACTTGTATCCAAGCTTCTCTTCTAGGCTTCAAGACTTGGAACCTCAGAGCTGCAGGATTCTGGAATTCATATGCGCATAGTGGTTTTCGGAACAACGCAGCTGCCAAATTTAGACATTCAGAATCCTGAGCTCAGAAATCCTGAGAGGGCAAAGCACCTTAAACCAGTACAGTGGGAACCATGGTTCAAAGATCCAAAGCATCACCTCTGGAACTAAAGATTCAAATTCGCAGTTACAGAGCTTAAAGAAGAGCTCCGGGCTCCCGAGCTCAAGTTAGAAGATCCAAATATTTGGTAAATAGACTTTCGGTCTACAGAGGACTACGTTCCTGAAAAACAAGGTCCAACACTCCAACTCACAATTTTTCCCATTTCACGGCGGGTCTCGGAACGCAACTACTGCGATAGGAGAGGGACCACTGTATAATACAAAAATAAGGAGAATAGCAGCACACCGTCAAAGAGACGAATGAGCCTAAACACTTGTAAGCATGTCTTGTTCTTGTTTCTATTCATGCGTGTTTTCGTAGCGCTCTACTGCTGCTGGAACCTTAATTTCCCAAAATGAACTCCCAAGGGATCCATGAAGTTCTATCTAATCTAATCTAATCTAATCTAATCTAACCTGATCGAATCTAATCAAATCAAATCAAATCAAATCAAATCAAATCAAATCAAATCAAATCAAATCTAATCTAATCTAATCTAATCTAACCAAATCTAATCTAATTTAATCTAAAGGTCAATTTCTTTCTTTATTTTACAGGACTCTTTGGTTCCGGATCTACAGAGTCTGAAGCAGCAGAATCTAAAAATGCCAGTTCCAAAGCTAAAGGGTCCGGACCTGCTGGGCACAGAACCACAGCATCCAATCCTGTGGGATCCTGAGGCTCTAAATCCAGATCTCCAGGACCCAGATGCACTGGCTCCAGTGTTCCAGGTTCCAGAGCGGCAGGATCTGGACATTTACCCCCTGTTTCTGATGCTGTTGCTCTGCTACATTGTCACAAATTATTTTTTATGTTTTAGAACAAACAGATTTGACTGTGGCCACTGGCAGTACTGAAAAGTAGTGGCATCTCATCACGTCATCTTTCCATTCAGTACCAAGTCTGTTTGAGAACAGTATCTGATCTGACCATACTTACGTTACAAGACATTTGTACCAGGGACAAGTACCAACCAGTGCTGACTTGCAGGACTACATTTTTGGAACTGTGTTTATTTTCACTGCAGGAAATAATATTAGTGCCAAATACTTAAGTCTGGTGCTGGAGTCAAACTTCAGCC